TCTGAGCCTCCAGCTTCTCGGTATCACGGACGCTCAAGATGGTTTCACATGTTGCATCTTGGCAGAAATATCGACATACACACACCTGTCCCACTTGATATGGTGTTACAAAGTCTGATTGAAACTAAACGAAATGGAGGCAACTTCCAAAAAGAAGCTCAATCGCTATCGTGGATTTGGGTTGAGGGGCTGCAAACAATTTGTGGATTCCTAGCTGAGGAAGACCAACTTGGATCTGCAAGGAGTTCCAAAACCGCCCTGCGCCTCAACCCTGTCTATTTGCATTCATTGTAGGCTAATTACGCACGCTCAAACGATTGCGAAAAGGCTGCTGGATTGATGAACCCCGACCCAAAGACGTTATCTGAGCGACGAAATCTAAGTCAGTACTGTACGCAACCCCAACAAACAGGTATGCTTGGTGGCGAAGTCCGTATTTGAAAGGTTCTCTCTGTATATAACACAGAGAACCATTGCAGGATGTTGTATGATTTCAAAGCAACGGCTGTAATAAATGATTTGGCTAACCGTCTTCCAGTCCTCCACCATCCGAATGTAGGTGAGCATTCCCCATACCAAACGAACACCTCCACAATCCCTCGACACAGTGTGGAAAATACCTACCAGCACCCTTCACCAGGTCAGCCCTTGAGACCCATTAGGGCCTAGGCGGCCTAAACAAAATTAAACAACCCTCCCAAGGAGACCTGTAGAGTCTGGTGCAGGTATAGATTCCTGAAACTATTTCGGGTAGGTCAATATTAATATCATTTAATATCCATAAATTCGTCAAACAAGTCATTCCTATTCACTTCAGGTTAAAGTAATTCTTCCATACACACCGTGTGTCGAACAAATCCTCCCGTTTCCATGCGGCACATAGCGGCACTCAATCTTTGCCCAGCGACTGGCGTGGGCTCCCTCGAGGTTTGCCGCACCAGGGGGGCAGTCCCGGGCTCCAGGCTATGCAAACCTCAGAATTTGGATGGAAGGGTCTGACGAACACATCGGACGTTCATCCATCGGTCCCTGTGAAGACCATGTTCCTCTACAAACAGGTGGTTGAACCCATTTCCAATGTGATGTGTTCGTCTGTTAGTGGTCCATGGTCCACCTGGAAGGTGTTGCTCATCTTGATTCATAAAAGCACCCCGCGGAAAGTGATCCCATGTGAAGAGGTTTGAGCGCATCCTCATGGGGGGTGTCATCAATCAAGATTCTACACTAGAGGGTAGTATGAGATAGTATGAGTACTACCTTTTTATTTACATCTTTGGAGGGTTTTTTAGAGGGTTCTTGATAAATCTTGATTACATTTACACCTGCAGGGTCCCTGGTCACCCACCAGATGGGTGGCCTGGAAATACCGCGCGCGAAGTGGGCGAACAAGACGAACACCCGGCGGGCGAAGTACGGGAGATCGAACGTCCAAAAGCCTTCAGTTTCGATGGGGCCTACCAGCCTACCCCTGACAAAACAACAACAACGACAACAACAACAACAACAACAAACACTTCCACCCATGTTTGGTTGTGCCTGACTTCTTGCGCACGAGTATCTCCCAGTATCTCCCGACTTCAGGATCGACTGCAGCATCCCATGCATCAGTTCAATCCGGACTGGAACAGTTAGCGCTTGAAGTTTAGGCTGCGATGGCTCACCAAGTGAGAAACTGCAGGGAAGCACGTGATCAGGGGCGAGGGGTAGTACCTCCTTCCGCCGAGGGGGTACATACCTTGATCCTCCTTTGGGCGGAAAAAAGTGCCGGACCTCAATCCGGCAAAATTTTCCGCCGGATTCCGAAAAAAAAACGCCGGAGACCTGAATAAACATCCGGATCCAAGATTCTGAAAAACAGAGATGATAAAAGGTTGGATCATACACAAGGAAATTGCCTTTGCGCCGCGAGTCGTTTTTGTGGAGCACACTCGAACCTTCCCGTTCCCATTGCCCTCGCCCATCTTCCGAATGGCCTAAGAGAAGAACCATCACAAAATATAAGCAACTTGTGCCCAAGCAAAGACTTCCAAGAAGAAACCAAGGAGCATGTGGCAATGAACTCATCTTTCTCTGCAACCTTGTCTCTAAAGTGTTTTTTCCAAAGTGGGTTGCTCTCCATGATTCTTATGCTTCTTAATGTTTCTATAAAGCTTGCCTCAGGACGGCCCCCCCAAAAAGTAGCAAAACTCATGGTTCCTGTCAAAACTCTTCTTTGAAAAACTTTTCAAAGTCAAAGCCCGCAGAAAACTCAGTCCAAAAAAATACGTCGGAGTTACGGGAAATTACGCCGGAGTTACGGGAAATTACGCCGGAATTACGGGAAATTACGCCGGAGTTGCGACGTGCCAGTTTTTGACAACTCTCTGCAAAACATGAGATTCTGAACAACACATGTTCCACAGCCCAAAACTTGTCCGGCAGGCTCTGCAAACCTGCGCAGCTAGAACTATATCCCAGCGCCCCGACATCCTGAAACAGTGGGAGTACATTCTTGCCTATGCTCTTTCAGCTTAGGTACGCCCACTTGGATCTTTCAATAGGTGCATCGCACTGTACCGGCTTCATCTGACGTCATTTAGAAGATCACCTAAACGGATCTGATTGATCCAGTGTGAACCATGCTGAAGCAGGTGGAATGAGAAAACAGCGGAACAAGCAAACGAGCACACATTGCAAACAAAATCATTGCATCAGTAGTGGGTTTACCTTCAAAGAAATGCAGACTACAAAGAATGCAAAGCCTTGAGAATCCACATAAAGTGACTTGGAAAAAGTGCCGGACCAAATCCAGAAAAACGCCGGAGTTGGAAGTCCGGCGCCGGACCCTGTAAAAGTGCCGGACTGAAGATCTAGGTATGACTTCTTACCCTAAGAATCCTTGGGCCCTCTATAGCAGGGGTCGGACTCGACACCTTCGCAGGGGTCTGGACCCGAACCAAACCCGCTTTTCAGGGTCCGGATCCGGTAACAAACCCATGTCGGCAGACTGGCCAGTGGTACCGGACCTGTGATGGATGTCACGCTCCCGAATGCAAACTAAACCAAACAGAAAGAACACAAAAACACCTCCCTTTCATTCTCCGTTTGGCCTCCAGTCGTACTGAACCTGAGATTCGGTGGGACTGGAGTGCCAGGAGGGTCTAGTCATACCTTCTGAGGAGGTACTTGGAGGTGTAGGGTTCTTAATTCGCGTAGTCCCTGAACAAGTCCAGTCCGTATGTTTTCTTTCTATATACTCCTGCACCGCCATCTCCTCCAAGTTGCTCCCCGATTGCAGCAACGGTGGCCGCGGACGTTCGGCCATGGGAGTGCAAAATGGCAGATATAGGGACTCAGCAGCGTTTGTTTCTTCATGTTCAGTGGACGTGGATCCAGGAGTCATGAGAGAATCAAGACATTGGACGTGGATGACTAGGAGTTGATTTGTAGCAACTGGTCGATCCTTGAAACAAATCTATGTTAGACTGTCTAAGACACTTTGATCAAGCACAGCGATGTTGCCTTTCTGCGCTGTCAGTGATCTATTGTTGCCAGGAAATCGGAAAAGGGATACCTACTTGTTGGGCGCATGCAGGACTTGGTCCTCGAAGCTGTCTTCAGTATCCGTGTGGTAGCTGTAGAGCCCGCGCATAGTTCGAGCATGTTCCCTCTCTGGAAATCTCTGGAATTCCTTCAGCTCATCTTCTGTCAGAATACTTGTCCATGAGCCATGTCATATTTGCAGCTGTTTGATGCTGGACATCGCAGGGAGTCCATACCACCTAGACACATCTTTTGCAGGGTGCATTCCCGCATGCTTCCAGTAGATCTTGGCATGCTTCCCCACTTCACCTCCAGAATAGACAACCAACCTAGGAATGAAGAACTCCTAGGAATGAAGAACTCCTCTGCACCGATCTGAGATATCTGAGATGTTTCAAACCCAAAAAACATCAGCGATAGACAGCACCCCGGTCCAACGGCGCGCGTGGATGGGGTGGCCGGGGTACCAAATGCACCGATTCGGCAGGAGACCCCAACGAGACAACCCAACCAGCTGAAATTCATGGTTTTTGCCCCAAAACGCTCATCGACTCTTATATAGAAGGGTCGGACCCTCATATGGAGGGGTCATTTTCTAGATTTTGAGGGACCAGTCGGGCTGTGAACGGAGTGTCTGGGTGATCAAATTTGCACCGTGCCGATGGGTCTCCAATTGGTGGTGACAGAGAAATCCGGAGGCGGGTAGAACAAAGCTATGAACAAATGGTGCATGAGATGTTTCTCGCTAGCTGGTAGAACTTGCATCCATGGTTTCAATGTTCACATGACAATGAACCATGTTAAACCATGTGAAACCATACTATACCCAGACACTCCATGGGACTGCCATATATGCCTACATTGGGGTGGTTTTGGGGGTCAATGTAGGCATATATGGCAAACATGGAGTGTCTGGGATAGCTCTGAAGAGTAAGGATAACACCCTGCCAGGACTCAGACGAAGATGGTTTAGACATGTTTAGAAAGGGATTTGTCAAATACAACCTGGCCTCTTTAAGAAGGGTCATGCCACAACACCCAGGATTTCATGAAAGAAACGAGAACTCAATAGACATGCGGCTTTGTGGGGAGTGCCATTGTGGCACTCAAAAGCAACAAATTAAACACTGGAGTCAAAACTCATGACCCAACCCTGGAATTCAGAGGCGTGCACGGCTATTGCACGGTCAAAAAGGCACCAACCATGATTTCTGTTCAATCCTCAGAAACGTCCGTAGTGGCATGCTTAAATGATCCCAACGACACGAAATAAACTTGTGGATTTCCATGGAATTCTACATTCTATATATGTACTTGTGGCCAGTTCCTCTTAAAGACCACGTGCAATCGGACCCTGAACTTATAATCAATATTATACAAACAATCACATACCAACGCATTCTAAAATCATCTGAAATCCACCCATATCAAACCCGGCTTCCCCACCGGAGCTCTGCGCATCAACCGTCCGACGTCTCCTCGAAGTCGAACCATGAATGCCGCTTTGAGGCATACAGGAGCTGTGCGGTGCATCTGGCCGGTCAAATGGTTGCTCTTCCATGTGCGTGGGCCGTGGGCGTACGTGCGTGTGGTATGTGCGCAGAACCGTGCAGCGGTTGAAGGAAGGAAGCCAACACAAGAGACAAGGAAGTGTAACAAGCTTGGAGGCCATCGCTAGTAGGTTGAAAGCCATCTATAGTAGGTTGGAGGCCATTGCTAGTAGGCTGGAGGCCATGGCTCTTAGGTTGGAGGCCATCGCTAGTAGGTTGGAGGCCCAGGCTCTTAGGTTGGAGGCCATGGCTTTTAGGTTGGAGGCCATCGCTAGTAGGTTGGAGGCCCAGGCTCTTAGGTTGGAGGCCCAGGCTCTTAGGTTGGAGGCCATGGCTTTTAGGTTGGAGGCCGTCGCCAGTAGGTTAGAGGCCTTCGCTAGTAGGCTCAGGGAGACTCTGGTTTCGACACTCACAGTCGCAAATCGACGCTTCATGATTTCCACTGAGATGATGACCGGGGAAGTCCAGCACCCTCCTCAGGCTGAGCTCCCCCACAGGCCCCACTTGGGCTGGCGCGCAGCCTTGGCCTGGCCGCGCAGGGGCGGGGCGGGTGGAGGATGATTCGGTACGTGTTTTCACATGAAAACGACATGAACACCAACCAATTTATAAGAAAGAACCAAGAAATCCCGTGGGTTTCTAACCAATGGGTTTCATACCAAAAGGTTTTCATGACCAGCCATGGTTCCTGTTTGAATAATGGATCCTTCTCACTTCCAAAAGTGACAGATCATAGAACCCAATTCGTTACTGCACGTCTTGGCCACCCCACATTGCAACACACCCATGATGCTCCAATTCGCCGGGGGGGTGGGAGGTCAAAGAAGCACATTTCACACGAAAGGTGGAAGTCCAGCCAAAGAAGTTATACGGATCTATACGGTATGTATGCTGCGGTATGCTACCGTCAAAATTCAACATTGGATTGGCAATAGGTGGTACAAAGTAGGGCATTGGGCTGGCGTCTTTCAGATTCACCGTGCCCAACGCACTTGTAAGAAACGGTTTCAAAGCAGCCACCAGAAACGATCAGATTCGAACGTACATGAAAGTACCCTAGTAGCGATGCCAGGAGCCCCGTTCGTAGCGTCCGATCGCTCCGTTCGTAGTAAGGCCAGGAGCCTGTATAGTAGCGTTCTTGTTCCTAGTACATGAAAGTACCCACCCCCATAAAATCACACGAGAAAGATGGTCTTACAATGATAAGCATGTGTGCGGTGGCATTTACTTGGTACATGCTGATACTAAACTCAAATACACTATCATAAACTGTCCATCTCATGTGAGGGGGCCCTATCTCGCTTAGATGACCTAAGTAGGAGGTCATATCACGGTATCTCGTTCAGACTACTTTAGTAGCAAATAACACTATCTCGTTCAGACTAATTTAGTCTCATCAAGCAAAAGTATCTCGTTTATGTAGAGGCCCTATCTCGTTCACCAGCGAATGCTGATGATAGAAAAGGCTACTAGAGCATGCCGTAGACTACTTGAGTGAAGCCAGTCAAGCCTAAAGTAGAAAGTGCTTGCTCATGTGTCAGCCATCTCTTGGCACTTGAACGGTGCTTTGCTCCACCCACCCCAGACCGATGGGCGCTCCGGCCGCGCCTCCGCTGCGCTCCAGGCACGTGCATCCGCCGTCGACACGGGTCGTTGACACGTCGTGAGGACCTCAGCCGAGCGGCAGAGGTGAGAGGGGCGGAGCGAGCGACTGGGGGTGATCTGACTGGGGGATCTGACAGCAGGCTCCCATGGATTCTGGAAGAAAAACCATGAAAAACCACTATATGGTCCCAGAAGGGGAATTATTCTGAGGGAAAATAGACCATCAGAAACATCCTTTAGCCCCTTTAGCAAAACCAGGGGGGATCTTTGGGGGTGGCTCCCTGTTTTGAAGCCCAAGCTGGAGCAAACATGCTACACAAGCTATGCTCGAAATGTATCAATCACATGGTCCACACTGCAATCATAGCTTGCTGGAATAAGTTGGAAACACTGGATCCATCCCTTCTCAAGCTCGCGTTCCCGTCCCGACAGCCCCGTCCCGTATGAATAAAAGATCCGTCGGGGTCACCTGCGGCGACCGATCTTCGTCCATTTCTGGACGCTTTGTCAATTGAAACACGGTCATTCCAAACATTCGACAGGTCTGACACGTGGTCGACAGATTATATACGATCTGCAGCCAGCGCACCAGACCTTCTTCTTCCACCTTCACCAACCTCCTCTGCAGCTTTAAAGCCTCAGGGTGAATCGGATGGGAAGTGTCGCGTCCAAGAGGTTGCTCCATCGGCTCACAAGGCCCACCGGGAAGGCCCACTGGCTCGAAGGCAGTTACAGTATAGACCTCCTTGGCACTGGACCCCAAGCACCTGAACATGTGGTTGGAGCCACTGTGATGTGTAATCCCAGGATCAGGTCTCGCCCGCAGAATTAGCTTGACCCGGAAAAAGTGCGTTCTTTTTCTAATTTGTCTTTCGCTCCGCGCAGCGGATGATCGCGGAAACGATGCATGTCCATCTAAGAGGGCTGTACTGCTGATTTAACCTATCATGTCAACAAATCTAGGACAAAATGGTGTTGAGAGTATATAGATCCTCTTTCAACAAAAAACATGCCAATACTTTGTTCATCTTTGTTCCCAGCTGTCTTGACATTCAGAATACTTTGTGCAGCCAAGCCTTTGTGTACTCGGCGGTTGCCACTCATCAGTTCTCAAGGGTTGTACCATCCGACAATCTCAAGGACCTGCTCTCAGAGATCCAAAGCCTCAAGTCTGTTCCCAAATCCTGAGAGAATTGGGGTTCATCTCCAATCAAGATTCCAAGGTTGCATATGATCGGATTTGATCGAAAACCTGTCAGGTCTAAAATGCCCCTCCCAGGAGAGCCTTCCACTTTAGAAAGACAACGCATCATATCCCAGAACACCCACATATTAAGCCTATGTTCTGCCTATATTTTATACTTACCAATCAGTTGAAGTGGTTGAAGTCGGGGTCTTTGTGGGGTGGCCTAGTTATTATACAGATGGGTAGGTATATATATGTGGTCTGGGTATGGAACATGTGGTCTCCCTCATGGTGAGGTGGTGCTTTTGGAAGGGGCCACCTCGTTTCCAACCTCCGAAACCGCGCAGGAACCACCTCCCACACCGGCGAGGGCCCGGCCAACTCTTTCTCGCTGCCGGCAGGGATGGCGCCTAGAAAAAGAGGCGTGGTACTGCCGGATGCTGTGAAGGTACTGCCGATGGAGAGAAGGAACTGCCGATATCTCCCAATGCAGTGAACATGTTGTAATATACCTGGACCTTCTTTCGGGGTGTCCTGGCTGGAGGTCCCTTAGTAGTGTAGGGGCGAAACCCGCCAGGTGACCCCTTCCATTGGTGCTGGTACGTGTGCACGCTCTTTGATAAAATGGTGGTTCGTCTGGTTTGGTACGGTTTGTTGCATCACCTTTTCTCACTCTACGGGGCTGGAATATATAGCCCCATTGATCCCGACTTCAGCCACCCCAACTGGTTGGCAAATACGGCAGTCGCATGGGTCGTGTCTCTGTCTGAGTAATTAATGACGCGCCGCAGTGGTTTCCAATCTGTGGACCTTCTTGGACCTCTACCCTGCCCTCTGATTTGAGCAGGGTAGATCAAATGAAACACAGATTGGGCAGTCTCTGTCTACCCTGCCCTCTACCCTGCCCTTTGGGATACTATCACTCAAATGAAAAAATCGCCTTTTTCGTCGTGGACAGCTGGATGGAGTGTCTGACTGCTACAGCTGCTACATGCTGCTGCCATTGCACGGCAGTCCCAAACGGGTCGTGTCTGGGATGGATTTCATGATTTGCAGAAAGATCGATCGAGAGTCGCATGTCTCCAAAGGACAGGGGGCGGCCTGAATGTGTAGTCATGACGGGATCGTTGTTTTCCTCCGAGCCACTAACATGGAACTGGACATCCTCGCCCTTGGAAAGCTGTTTTCCTCTACTAAGGGGGTGAAACTTCCATGATGGTTTCAGAGAGTGTAACTGTTTTTGTTCACACATTATCCCCACACCATCCCCACTCCATCGTGCCTGGAGTGATTCCTGGCCATGCCACCCTGGCCATGCAGTCTAGTGTTTCCTTGCACTTCCTTTAAACTTTCTTTTTGCAGGATCGCATCACATGTACTGTATGACAAGCTTGCTGTGGTGCCAGCACAAAGGCAACTCGGTTTCTCGCCCCTCTCTCAACAGGTCCAGACGCACGACGAACCTCGCCTCCCACGTCCGGCATTCTTCTTCGCCACCGGCTCCTAGACCAAGTCCGTGCCCCAAGTTGTCAGAATGGGTTCTCCAGACCTCTGCAAGAACCCCCTAGTTTTTGAAGGTGAACAGCGGCGAAACCTGTAGATGTTCCTTAATCCGAAAGGGTCAATCAAATCCCTGGGTCGGTTTTCATGAGATGTGCGAAACCTGTGTAGCGAAACCTGTTTGGTGTGCGACCAAAGTACCCAACCACTCCATGTATGCCGTATGCTGCCCCATTGACACTGCAAACCACCCCAACTGATCGGCAAATATGGGGACCGGTGGCTGGATCGCGCCATCTCGAAACTTCCACACGAAGCCGAAGCATGATGCCAAGCACATCACTGACACGAACCTGGGTTCTTGGACTCCTGGATAATAGTTTCCCCTTCTACTTTGATGCAAATTTTCTATTTGGGCGTGTATTCAAAATTAGGGAGCCCTTCCAGGCAACGACTGCCCAGAAGAAGGAAAATTGGCCCATCTACATGGCGATTTCGCGGCGAGATTTCGGGGGTCGGAAGCATCGAAAAAGAACATCCCTAAGGCTCCTGTCCCATATCCTGAGGTTCGGTTGTTAGACCCCCCTGGCACCCACCCCAAGCATCGAACCTCACGGAGGTGGGCCAGGAGCCCAAACGGGCATATTCGTCTCTTCAAGCACCTCCGATCGGTCTAAAGTCACAACGCGTCCGACTCGTGTGCTGTGCCCCTTAGATCGATCCCGGCACCGCACCCGGATCGGACTCAGCTCCTGTTCTCCGCGCGGAGGAGAACCTCCGCCGCACGGCGTTCCGCGGGGACTGGGCGTGGCATCTGCCTGCAGCGCGTGTGATGAAGGGGTGAGTCTGTTGAGGAAAGTCTCAAGCTGCTCAGAGGGCGAGGCTGAGCAGCGTGCAGCGCCAATCGACTCTGTCGGACATGCCGCTCGACTTTTGAGAGGGACCCGGACCCAGCCATTTGTATCGTCCGACGAAAACAAAGCCTATATTAGACCTGCCACCTGCTCAAAAATAATGCAAATATCGTGGTGGTTTCCTTTCACTTTGGATTTCTAGTTTGATCCTTAAGAGTTCCGACCTTGGGCCCCCTCACTTCACTGGCCGTGCCGAAAAACCTTTGGTTGTTGCCGTTGTTGATGCACACAACTCATCAAATGCAACAAGAACATCCAACCTGCAACCTCCGAGTATAAGCATGCATGTATATGGTCAAATAGTTATAGCATATGGACCGACCCATCATGCTGTCTGTAACAATTCTGTGAGGCTGTAACAGTTCGCCCCTGATACGTGCACACATGAGGTCAGGTAAACCACTGTTCGTTGGTTCAATGAGCAAAACAAACACCAACGTATCTGGTAAATCCTCTTTGATTTGTCCCCCGCAAACTTCAACCACATCCTCAGGTGTCTGACTGCTTTCGGATTTGGGCCAGAAACTGTACAATCCTAAAACTTGCTAGAGAGGTTGAGCAACCCGTCCTAGGCTATCCCATATGTACCTATATAAGGTCCCAGCTCAGGTCTTTCAACCTCTCTTGGTTGCTTTCCAGAACCATCACTGCCTGGCCGCCTGGGGTCCCGGCCGCGGGCTGAGCTGCTGCTTGTGGAGCTGGTGCTGTTGCATCTTCTGCTGGTTCCAATCTCATCGAGTTCTGCGAGCGGCACAATTGGCAACTTTTGAGGATGCTGAACACTGAAAACCCAAGCCTTTGTTTGTCTAGTGCCGTTTATTTTTTGAACTGGTGAGGTTCACCAAATGAGTCATAGTGATTTCAGTGTGGCACAACATAATTACTGCGGGTGTAGTAGGTACTCAGTACTACACTCTAAGAGAGGTGTTTCACTTAACCCCGACCTCACTGGTAATCTATTCTCAACAGTGCTAGGCCCTACCGGCTAGGCCCGTGTTTCCGGAGCATGGCAACATAAAACCTGTTGTCAAAGCACCACATTGAAGCACCACAACAACCGAAATCTTGACCGAATCAATGGATGGAAATTGTAAATTCATATGCCAATGTCTATTTTTAGTAGCATATCACAAACCAAGCAACCTCTCAGTAGTCCTCTACCTACTGCAACCTCGGATCTTCTCACCATCGCTCGCTGCGCACCGGTCGTCCGCGGACCTCCTGGGACTGCTCCGCCTCCGGTCCGCGGTCCTCGCTACGACCGGTCCGGAGCATGCAGCGTGCGAAGGTTTCGGGTCCGATTTGGGGATTGGATGGGTAGTTGATGTAGACCGATTCACAACCTCCCCCAATTCAATGCGCTCACTTGCGGACGTCCGCGCCCACGCGACCCCTTGTCCCGTTTTGAGACGAGTGCCGGTGGAGTATCATGGTGAAAAGGATGAGCTATAGGGAAATGGTAACCTATACAGAACCCCAAGTGAAACCGACCGCGGCGAGCAGACGGAAGTCTCCCAGGAGTGTAAACGTGGCTAGCGCATCATGAATGCAGGGTGCTCCGTGTGTAGCATGTCCAGTCGGTGGACGCACAAGAGTACGAATTACGAATGAATTGCAAAAATTGCAAAATCTAATTACTCGGAAAGCTTAAATGGTCAAACGGTTTCTTTCTGGCCAGAGCGTTTCGAACTTGTATTAGGAATTTATCTTGTTTTTCCCAAGGGATTTCTTCCCAGGTGGGCCATACAACCTGTGAGGTTCCCACTGGAAGTTGTGGGACCAGGATTTCATTATGGAATGGGGGATCATGTGGCATGTTAAGAAGCATTTGTCATTTGTTCTAGGAAATCATATGTAGTGTTCACGTTGGGCAAGGTCGGCCTGCGTGAGAACCCCCCTTCATGGTATTTCGAGAACCCCAATCGAGTGAGGCTAGTAGATCCTTGTTTTTTATACGTTTGCAAAATTTTCGTTCGAGAGAATGTTTGGATATGTTTGATAATCCAGCGGAAATTATCCAAGAGACCTGCTCTTAACCGGTAGGCATTGAACCCTCAGGTCATCATAGGGTACGGTTATGAGTGACTCTTTGTAGCTGATGCGAACCGGGAGGTGTCGGCCTGACCACAGCATAAAGGAACATGCTAGTTCTGTCCAAGATATACCATGGTCATGAGGGTCAGTGACTTGAGCTGGATCAAGCCATTTCAAAAGGTTACAATATTCCCACACCCTACGTGCGAGGTTGGTACCCCACGGACAACACCAGAACACAACTTGATGAGGCTCTTGTGGCATAGGAAACAACGGAGGTTTGGCAACCCACGAACGGCATGCACCAATAGCGCGATTAAAAGCAGTGGCAGATGTGCGGTGTGCAGGTCCCGCAGGATTGGCATCAGAACCTGGGGGTAACTGCTCCAATTTTTCCATGCGACTACATGCGAGAGCAACAAGGTATTGGTACACTGAGCTCAGGATGTTATGCTGTTGTTGACGGTGGTTACGAACGTGCTGACATAGGGAGTCAAAGTCCTGGTCATCCAGGGTTCTGGATTTACCGGCTGCCTCATCTGCATATGCGTTTCCACGAATGTGCCAAGCGTCGGCTCGACTGGTTGCTTCATGGAGCTGTAGATGAGGTTTAATTTTAAGAAGGTGAAGCCGGGCAGGTTGCCACGCATCGGACAGCCGCGAGATTAAATCCCAATGTGCCTTTTTGTGCGGGGATTTGGAGATAGTACCATCTAGAATTTGGTCAACAACATTGACTACGAATTGGGAGTCGGTCACAAAGAGGATGCTATGGGTGAGAGTGACTGTAAGAGTCTGTTCAACAGCAACGATCATTGCAAAGAGCTCGGATCGATTGATCGTTTGCAGACCCGGACAGTGGCCGGAGGCGATTACTTTCAACAGGCGGAGGTCAGGGTCAATAGGACACGGATTGCTTGCGACAACTGGCAGAGTCGCCGGTGAGATTCCATATATTGGATGACATTAGGGTACTGCGCACGAAGGTCGGAGAACTCCGGACAGTCCAAGAGCTGGTGCGTGTGCGTATCATATTGTTTACACCAGGGGCAGAGAGGCTCCTGCGTAGAGGACCACTGCGCAATGGCTCCATTTGATTGCCACCCGGAGGTCAGGCTAGGGCTAGGATTTGCATTTGGCGATCAGATAGCTTCTGGAGGATGCGGACAGTTGTCAAAGAATCAAATGGGGTTTCGGCAACACCTTTGCGGCGCAGGACTTCCTGGTGACAAAACCAGTCCCAGGAGATTCGGAGCTGTTGTTTGATCTGCTTATTAGAGGATGATGGGAGGTGAACCCTTAAGCCACCTGGTCCAAGCAGGGTGGCTTGGGATGTGAGTTCCCATCCACATTGGCTTAAATATGATGCGATGGCCGAGGCTGGTCCTCGTACCTTGCCGTCAAAAAAACGGATTGTGTCAAGGATTTTCTGGGCCATGGTGGGGTGATACACAAAAAGTCGTCTAAGTGTGGTAAGCATATCCGTGATGAGGTACAGAAGTGGGTCTTGAACCCGGTCAGACAAATAGTGCATGGCTATAGGGCTAGCAGCGTGCTTATGGTCCCCTACCAGAACACTGGTTGCAGCGCGGCGCAAAGCAACGAAGTGCTTATTACCGATGGCAACTCCCAAGGCTCCGTAAAAGACCGCTGGCCATATGGCCACCTGAATTTTTTCTGCACGCTCATCAACGGAAAGCCTGAGTTTCCGGAGGCGATTACACTTAGCGACTGCATTATCGTTTTTGTCCCGTAAAGGTCCCAGGACCACTGCGTCAGTGTAGGAGATTGTACATCCTAGATCATGGACATGGCTTTTAAATTTAAAATGGAAACCCGGTGTCAAAAGGAGGGCTGCAGCCTCTGTCCAGAAGGTCTTACAGGGTTTGGTTGTGGCCCAACACCACGATTTAGAAAAATCGATCTGCATTTTAAGGTCGGCAAGATTATCTGCATGGACCGAAAGCAGGAACGCTCGGACGTGGACATGAACGACCAATTATCTGCATAAGCGAACGGATAAACCTTGGGAGTTTTGATCTTGGCATAGAACACAAAGCTTAGGGCTAACATACCTACCACCGACTGGGCCGCGACTTATATAACTTTGTTTTTTTTGTTCATGTTTTTGATTTTTTGGGGTTTTTCGTGTTTCGTGGCAGGTGCAGTACTTTGTGGACCTTGCAAAGCACATTTCGTAGCAGGTGCAGGACTTTGTGGATGTGGAAGTGCAGAGTTGGTGGCAGGTGCAGGACTTTGCGGGCCTTGGAGTGCAGATTTTGTGGCAGGCGCAGGACTTTTTGTGGGCCAAGTGTACGGCCACATTGTAGGGCGCGCGTAAGCTTAGTTAATGACAGGAACCAGAAGTCACAAATATGTGCTTGGATACCTAGTCTCAGGAAAATGTGGCGCACAACCCGCCTTGGTATGAGGTTGAAGGCTTTGACTAAGTCCATCGTCCACCCACCCCATGCGGTATGGCGGGTTTTAGCCTGCTCGATCTGTAACTGTTGCATCACGCATAAGTCGCGCGCGGAGCGGCCTGGTAAACCTCCGCTTATCTCTGGCGGCCAACAGGCGGACCAATGCTGGAGGATTTGGTCTGACACAAGTTTGGAGCAGAGTCTAGCAAGGTAACCCAAAATCGTGATGGGTCCACCGTCAGAAATACTTTCTGGCTTTTCACGCTTGGCAAAAAGGAGTGTCCGTGCCTGCATAAGGTGGTCCGTGAGGCCATGCGGCCACACTTAAGAGAGGAGGAGCGAGAGATCGGCAACCATTGCCGGGGTAAGGCGTTGTAACTCTTCCGAGTGCCACCCGTCAATGCCTGCTGCACGATTGGACTTAAGTCTCCGAATTGATTCCTTATAAGGCATTGGGGATCATCTATGCGTATGTCGATATGAGGCTGCTGGGGTATTGCATGGGTAATATCATCGTGCACAGTCTGCCAGGTGTCGTCCTGCAGTTGGGACTGGAAAGAATCACGCAGCCAAAACTGTGACCAAAAATGATGAAAGTGCGGTGACATGTCCTCACATGTGCATGCATGTGTATGGTAGACGAACTCGGCACTGCCTGGCAATGGACCCTGAAGATTAGTAATGGTGACGTAAGGCATCTGTGTCTGATAGACTGTGGCAGAACATGACCCAAAACGGACAGTGGATCCTACCGGGACATCAAACGGCTGTTGAAGGCGAATTTTAGGCAAGTTATGTGATGCTCGACATAGACTGGCGGGAGATGAAAGACAGACCGGAATATCGGTGAGGAATTTCTGCTCTTTCCCTTTGATGAATCGGTAAGCACTCGAGTTGTTGGTGTGCGACTGGGCAAATACCAAACTGTGACGTTTGTGATGTTTTCGAAGTTGCAGCTCCTGCTGTGCATATGCATCTGCGTCACATTTAGTGACTTGGTAAGCATCCAGTAACCACTCAGCAGTGGGTAGAGCACACGGGACACATGCGATACATTCGAAGCCTAGCAGCCATGCTGCCCAGGACCGCCCATAACCTTGGGCATGTTGAATTACCCACCACTCATGCAAGAGTTGCGGGTCATGAACTGTGTTCTGGTTGGTCTGTTGTTTCTTTTTGAGGTGACGTTAGGTGGGTTGTACCCGCCTGTTGGGTCGGGCTTCGCCGTACGTGGGGCTGTGTGCACAACGTATTTGGTTGGTTCACATCTCCAAAAAAA